TTGCAACTTTTTCACCGACCACAAGGCTGCACTTCTACTTACTTTGGTATGCATTCTGCCTGCAATCTCATAACACTATTACCACCTGCATGTTAAAATAATTTGTCATACCAGATGTTTGTAGAGAACCTGTTCCTACCTGATCCCCTCCTATTTTGAGCGTTTATTCTACTTACATTTGACCATATTTCCCATCGACACTTTCCCTTATTAGGACTGTTTTTATTACATATCAGTCCGTAGGCGCCTGTTTTATCCTCAGCCAACAGGTGAATCCTTAGGTATTCTCCTATGTAGCTAGTTGTCTGAACCAGTCCTCTATCTTCCAATCATAGGTTTCTTTTTTTACGAAACTCGGATAGCAGTAATGATCAAAAGGAAGAATGCGCACACTAACAGAGCCCGGGATTGCGGTTCGACTAATGAGGAATTAATGCAACCGTCTAGTGTAATATACAACTGCAGAAACCTTGTTAAAGGGTCCCGCGGAGATTAAACACTTCAACAGCAGGAACTTAGCAGAAGCAGGCAACTCCATAAGGTATTTGAAGTAGCCTAATAACCGGAGATCGACTCCTCCCTGAAACATAAAAATAATCTTCGGTCGCAAGCCAGTCTGACATTTTCCATTGTCCACGCTGCGATGTAGTCATGACCTTCCCTTGGAACTTTTGGCTGTAGTCCGTTTCTTGCAGAATGATCGATGAGTATATTAATTACACATAAGAAAAGCATTTCATGCACGCACGTTAGCGCTTGGTGCAGACGTCAAAATTACGTGTTTTGGCGAGTTGTTCTGGTTTAATCAGTATGCGAAGTAACGCTTACGTAAAATCTCTGTACGAAATAAAGCTCTTGATTCGGTACCGACGCTCGTAATTTTATTTCAATTGGGGGTTCATACAGCAGAATTTGCGTATTCTTGAGCATTGCTCGTACTCAGTACACCTCACGAGTCACTATCCTTAACGTTATGCATCAAATTAATTGTATCATCCTTTTGATTTCATACAAGTACTTGAGAACTGTTGTTTTTTCTGGAAAAAAGGTCTTTCGATGTAATTTAATCTGATAGTAAAAATAGTCTTCCAAGCCCAGTGAAACGCCATGAAGTTCAAGTCTTCAGTTAGAAAATAAGTATAAGACCTTCCTGTCACGTCGTGTTAGTCAGGCAATCTATACCGTAGTTTTCGTTTCTCTATTCTGGCTTGGATACCAGAGGACTTTTACTGATAGATATCATAATTAACGTTCGTGAATTGTGCCATATAAAAGTCCGATGTGGGATGTAGTGGAAATCTTCTAGGGTCAGACGAAGGGACTTAAATTCTCTAACATAAAAATGGAGCCGTATCGCCTTGTATTAAAGACTTTTGAGAGCAGCCGCCCATGTTTCGCTGTTTTTC